CCATCTTTGGTGATTTTTCATTTTTTTTTTGGCATAGCTAAATGCCCTGAAAATTTACAGATGTGTACTTCACATAATACAAAACCCACTAAAAAAGTTTCAAAAAATAATAAAATTGTTTAGACCCCGAACAAAAGTGAAAACAAGAAGTAAAAAGTGAAAAAATACGTGGGAGAGCACGTTTTGACACCGCCATCTTTGGCGATTTTTAATTCTCATTTGGCTTCGTCAAATGACTAGAAACTTTACAGGCATGTACCTCACGTCATAGAGAACTCACAACAAAAAATTCAGAAAAAAATAATTATTTTTAGGCCCCGAAACAATTTTTGGCAGGGGCCGAACACCGCCGGGTTCGGGCCCCATACGGGACCCCGAACGCCCGTACGTACGGAGGTCTGCCCAGGGACCTCCGTACTTACGGGCTGGTGACCCTGAATATAATAATAATTATAAAAAATAAATATTTAAATTTGGTAAAGAATTTTGATCTCACCTTGAGGCAAAAGTTGTTCCGTTTAATTTTTTGCATCAGATAGCTTTTTTTTTTTTTTTTTTTGGTAGTCGGGACCTTCCCTGGTCCTTGCAGGGCTGGGCTCCCTACTAATTTAGTAATTTATCAATCTGAAATTGATTTGAAATCTTTAATCTAAGTGTAATCAACTTTAATGCTAGGCTACCAACTTTATTTCTAGGGAGCCCCTAGAAATGAAGTTGGTAGCCTATCATCAAAGTTGATTACACTTAGATTAAAGATTTCAAATCAATTTCAGATTGATAAATCAGTAATTAGTAATTAGTAAATACAGATATGAAAACGACTCAAATCGTTGATACTGACACGTACAACGAAAGCTCGCATGTTACAGTCTCACGGCAGAATTACACCGACGCTTGCTTTCCGGACTTTTCACTGAAATTTTGCGGCGAAGTAGCTATACTGTACAGCACAAGGAACTCAAGAAAAAGCGCAGAAATTTTCTTCTGCCATCTCAACAATATGAGTGTAGAGTGTTGTAACTGTTGATCCTTCTCATCTCCCTCCAACATTGTCACCCACACACACACACACACACACACACACACACACACACATACTGGGGAGATGGGGCTGATTTCCAACTCTACGAGCCCGGAAAAAAAAAACAAAAAAACTGGGGGGATAAGCCGGTCTTCAACCCTACAAGTCTACACTGCCAATTCTTAGTTCTTGTGAGTACTACTCGGCATCGAGGGTCGTCGAGGATACAAATCGACAAATCGACAATATCTACTCTCCAAGCAGAGGAGGTTTACAGTCCAATTTGTGTGCCAGAACAGCAGTTCGACGTGTGTGCAGAAATATAGCAGTTCGATTTGTGTCCCAATACCAATCTGATTTCACACGCAACGCAAAGACAGTCTGATTTGCGCATGAAACAACAGTGCAATTTGCACACAATGGCCACACTGGAGGACACAGGCGGCTGCTACGGTTCCGCCATACAAAAGAGCAATCAGCCTTTTGTATGCTAAAATCTTTCTCAACACCAGCGGCATCCAGTACTATCAAGTTACTATCAAGTTACTATCAAGTTACCATCAAGTTAATATCAAGTTACTATCAAGTTACTATCAAGTTACCATCAAGTTACTATCAAGTTACTATCAAGTTACTATAGTAACTGTGGAGTCATTAGAGCATCTTCGACGAGACATACAAGAAAAGATTGATCACAAAAAACGAAAACTACGTATGACTCTTGTAGAAGTTTTGAGCCTTGCAGAATACATTGCTCTTCGAGTTATAAGTCAGTTCAATCTCTCTAGAGTCCACAGACTCCACAGACTCCACACCTTTGTCAGGACTGGAAAAGTTCGCTTGCAAACGCAGTTGCGATATCATCATACAGCTCAAGACTTCCGGAAAGAGCTACGCCCAGCTCTCTTTTATATCTCAGAAAATTCAGTAGCAAAAAAGCGCGTTCAACAGAGTGAAAACACATTCCCAGCCATGTTGCTCCCCACGAATAGATTTGGAGCATCACCTCTCTCTCTCTCAAAAAAAAAAAAAAAAAAAAAAAAAAAAAAAAAAAAAAAAAAAAACCAACAACAATGCACCCGCCGTTCAGTCGTCGTGACCAAACATGTGCTGGATGATATATTATTACACTGCTCAGCGTTTACAACCTTACGCGAATCAGTACACAACATTCACAATTTTTTAATAATGACGGTTTCGAACCAACAATCTGACACATAAACTCTCTTTTTTTTCTTTTTTTGACAAACAAAGCCGATCGGTCCGTCATAGGCATAAAACGAAAGCAAACATTCCTCATTGTGCCCCACTTGGACGCAAGCTGTCATGGACTTCACACACACACACACACACACACAAAAAAAAAAAAAAAAAAGCCTTCCGAAAGAGTTTCAAAAAAAAAAGGACAGATTCCGAACGAGTGACAACAGTGTTTAAAAAAAAAAAGAAAAAAAGAATGCAAGAATGAAAGAACGAGTAAAAGTTACTGAAAAATCAAAAAGTTAAAAACACAACCCGCGACGACAGGCACACAGCAATTTTTTAATCCCTGATTAAACAGTGATTATGTGCCTCTTTACTTTTTTTTCTTTCCATTGTTCCAATGCATCCCTCTTTTTCAAACAGTGTACATCACAACAACTGCTTTCTCTGCGTACTATGTAGCTAGGCTACCAGCCGGGCCGCCCGGGTCCCGGGTGGCCAGCCCGTGCAAGGATCAGGTAAGGTCCCAGCAAAAAAAAAAAAAAAAAAAAAAAAATCCAAAAATTCTGAAAAAAGCTATGTTATGCAGAAAAATAAACTGAACAACTTTTGCCTCAGGGTCACTTCGAAATTCTTCACCAAATTTAAAATAAAAAATTAAATTAAAAATATTTTTTTATTTTTTATTTTTTATAATTATTTTGGCCCGGCCGGGCAAGTGACCCCGGGCCACTCTGGTAGCCTAGCTATGTAGTATGTACTCGATCAAAAATAATTGCTCGTCACCAGATCTGAGGGAGGAATGCTCCCAAGCAACAACGTGCGCGCACAATTCCATGCCATAATGAGAAAGTTGAAACAACCCACACACCGTCCACGTGCGCAATCATGTCCCCGCCTCCCCGCCTGATATTGGTACAGAACTTAGGAGTTCAAAAGAAGAAGAAGAAGAAGAAGAAGAAGAAGAAGAAAAAGGGAAAAAAAAATCTTAATAATTGAAAAATCTTGCCACATTGCCCCAATAGATCAGTATCCAGCCACTGATTACAAAAAAAAAACAAAAAAAAAAAGTATCCAGACACTGAATCACTGATTGAAAAGAAAAAAAAACAAAAGAAAAAAAAAAGAGAACCAAAAAATGGCAGAAGATATTTCCACCCATCCTCCTACTAATCTGCTTCTCTTCTCCCGCCTTTTTCCCCCAGCTCCATATGCGTTCCAAACTTTCCTCATGTTACAGACTTCGGTCACCGGTGGATTAACTTTCCGTATCTTAGTCGTCGCACGACGGCCCTGTCAGCAGCTTGTACATCTTTTCTTTTTTGTTTTTCTTTGTTCAATTGTTGTTTATCAGCCGAACCCAATTTGGCCAACAGTATTTATTTATTTATCGACTGCCTCTGTCGAGTAAAAGGGGGTCCCAACCCAATTTGCCCCACGAGAGGAGGCCAAGGCTCGCCAAGCTTTGTGTGCATCAGAATCAGACATCCACACTGATTCCCGCGCCGAGTGTTTCGCAGTCTCAGACACTGTGACAGAAACTCAGAAGGGAACCCTGCGCCTGACATATACACGTATACTCGAGCGTTCCCTATCTCTTACAGAACGAAAAAAAAACAGCCATTGATATATAATATATATGTATGGATATATACAGATGTACAAAATACTACAAATACAGCTCCCCTCACATATTCACGATGGGCAAGAATCAGTCAAGAGCCACCGCAGATGGGTGGAGTTTTGCTCGGTCAAGAGCCACCACAGATGGGTGGAGTTTTGCATCTGCTTCTTGTCGAAACATCATGCGGATGCTCGACGCGAAGATTCTCCTCCCTCCAAAAAATACTTCTCCCGTATTTTCTTCCGAATTGCAGATAGATGTCGTACGCAGCAAAAAATCGGCAAAAAATCTTCAAAAACATCGATGGATGAACAAAAAACAAGGACGGGTAGAAAGTTACCAGAAACACAAACTGAGCACGATCCGAGAACCGGAATCATTTACCGACGAAACCCGCATTTACCGACGAAACCCGCATTTACCGACGGAACCCGCAGTTACCGACGAAACCCGCAGTTACCGACGAAACCCGCATTTACCGACGGAACCCGCATTTACCGACGAAACCCGCATTTACCGACGGAACCCGCAGTTACCGACGAAACCCGCAGTTACCGACGAAACCCGCATTTACCGACGGAACCCGCATTTACCGACGAAACCTGCATTTACCGACGAAACCCGCATTTACCGACGGAACCTGCTTTCCCGACTATTTACCGCTGTGCCACCTCACCGCAACCCTTCCCACGAGGCTGTGGGCGATGAAGGCAAGAAAGCATAACACTTGATGACAATTTGAGATGCCGATTCTCGGTACAATCGATACACGCCTTCAGCTTCGATGGACCTTCTCAGGGGAATTCTTCTGCTGTCCTGTTCAACACTACCTCAACCAACAATGGATGGGTACGCTGTCACCTTCGACGCAATCATCAGCCAGCAATATTGTACTTTGGTGAGAAAACCCTTGGTATGAACCCGTCCGATGACCAACGCCCAACAAACATTCTCTTTCAGCGCAGTAATCAACGTCCCGCTCCCCCCATTCTCCATTCTCCATTCTTTCCCCCCCCTCCCCCCCCTCCCCCCCCTCCGCCCCGCCACCAGCTCAGCCTCTTCCTTTTAATGTGCTTGGCCTGAACTTTCATGCCATCTGCCCCCCTTGCTGACCGGTAAGACAGATCCGCTGGGTGCTGCTGCATACACAAAATAGGGGTTGAAGGAATTTACTATTTAGTATTTAGTCACCAGTGACCCCAAGTGACAATAGTCTTAGCCGGTAGCCCTTCTATCCTGTGGCAGCTAGCTCTCTGTTGGAGCTCAGAAGCAGCACTCCAGTCATCCAATGTCCTTGTTGTGTAACTGTTCCCTGGCCGGTCCCCTTGGGCGTCTGAATGCTTTGGTCCCGAAC